CATCCTATAACACACGGACTGCTTGAGGATTTGCATCCTGGCGGTCTGCAGGTTCACCCTTGAAAAGGGACCCTGCAAAAAATGCCTAGGGGTGGAGCTCGTGCACCCACGCAAACACTCAATTTACTCTACTCTTCCAAGTTGGACGCAAAGTCGGCTCGATGATGGCTGGAAAAGTGGATACCCATTCTTCCCACGCTCAGCTACGATTTGATGGATCCCAATGGGTATGGAAGCGACCCTTTGTTGTTGCGCAACTTTCTCTCTCAGCTTCTCTCGTCTAGAACGCAGGAAACAATACTCGTGCCGCTGCATAAGCAATCCACTAGTTGAGTAATCCATCATTCTCGTGATTGCATGAGTTTCAATGGCCGCGGAGGGGACGGGCTGACGGCATTGTGCGTGAGGCCTTGCAGCTAAGCTTTGTCCAAGAGTCTCGGCGGAACGACCGGCATTTTGTAATATATGACAGCCTAGGTTGGCTAGTGACCGCACTGCAACAGCAGTCCACGCGATATTCGTATCTTATCACATAAAGTTTGGAATTCGTAGCTTATGGTTCGTCGATACGATGAGCAGCAGTTTGGCCGATGTTTCGCGGAATGGGGAATGCTAGCGCTGTGTCTCAAGTCGCATTCTTGCTGTTCTTGTGGGCCGCAAGTGGAGCAACTCTAGTCATAGTACTCTACACGCTAGAACAAACGGTTGAGACGCATGTAGGGTGCTGCAATCTTCGGACGAACGGGGCGAAGTGTCAAGCTGTTTCCTTTGACCTGCATGCGGCCGTGCCGTCTCCGTTACCTGCGCGATGGATTTGCAATCGGGGTTTGCGGGCTTAACATGGGACTCGGTGAGATTGCGCCACATTTGAATTAATTTAGGCTAATATTGAGTGCAGGCCCTTTTCTGGGGATGCTGTGGTATTGCTGCGTCGCATGCTCATATGCCCTGACCACGACCCAACAACCGAGGCGTCTTGCGGTGCCTGTATGGGACAGGGTACAATGCCCTTTTCTTGCAGGCAACGCATTCAATAGGTTGCTCTACAATGAATGCATCTTCTTGATAGAGTTGGATGTAGGGTGTATGGTAGAATAAGGAAAATCTGGTTGAGAAAACCCCGGCATGTCGAATCTGCTGCAATAGACCAGTTTGATGAGCCCCTTAGAGAACAAACCCTTGAAACACTCGGAAGTCAGGCCCACCTGGGCTGCGGAGAGGTAAGATCTGGGGGACTCCACTTTGTCCCTGCGCAAGAGCGAGCCAGAGGTCGGGATACCTGGAAAGCGGAGAGGAGCCGTCGCCAGCTATGCGACGCCAAAACGACTTCGGGTGATCCGCAAAATATTTCGCATAGTAACCTCTGGGGAACCGCTGATACATGTCTTCATGTAACCGAGGCTGACCGGTCTTGATTCCTTCTAGATGTTAGGCGATCTGAGTGAGTCAATCTTGTCCGCTGCTTATATCACTGCTACGAGAGCATGTTCTGAGCTGATTCATCACACAAACAGTTCCCAGCAAAGCATCCGACGTGGCCAGACGTCGTCGGAAGAGCCGATTGCGAAAACAGCATCTGGCTTGGACAAGCACATATTCATGACGCGCAGCTCTACCTGCCACGTCGAAAAATTGGACAAGTTCAACGACGTCGCAATAAGACGGACCAGGGCAGAGAAGTGGCGTTTCTTGTCACTCGGTGCCGGCTTGGTACAAACTTGGCGCATGTCGCTTGCACGGCAGGCTTGGGTGGACATGGGCAGACACGAGCGGTCATAACTAACGGCTATGAGTGCACACGATGTCAGCCGGACAGCATGGAGTAGCGCAATGAAGCAAATATTCGAAAATAACGATGGGTGCGATGGTGTTGAGGCGAATTTGGGGTTGGCGAGACATGCTACGTAATGGGGGCGTCGATCGGGGCCGGGGGGCGGGGAAGCCCCCAACAAGCTGCCCGGAGCTCTCAGCTCTGTCGGCCTTAAGCTTGGAAGCTTCATACTAGGCAACCGTCAGTGAAGGCAGCGCTCCCTACTACCTCCACAGCACCGTCTGCCACCCAGCACCAGAGTATTATCCAAATCCATCATGGCAGGAAAGGCAGGACACGAGGACATGGCGAGCCTCTCATACTTTGACCACTCGTCGGCCAAGCGCGTCAACACTGATGTTGTGCTCATCGAAGCTATCCGCTCCCAGTACCCCGAACTCGACCTCGTCGTCGCGCCTCAAGGCAAGCTCAACCTGCTCGCATACGCCTCGGCCGGCTTTGCAACTGCCATCCCCCTCGATGACGCCGTCAAAGATCCCGTGTATGGCCCTGGTGTCAAGCAACGTTCCTATGTCCCACCCACGAGGAGACTCGATCCATACCCCGGTCGCATGATCGAGCGCGTCATCTTTGGCAAATACATGTACAAATGGAAGGACCAGGAGGCCATAGTGTACGTCGCTGAAGGGCGCGACGGCTTGGCATCATACCCAGCTCCCATCATGTACTATATCCTGTCTAATGCGGAGCACAAGGTGGACGAGCTGATCAAGAATGCGACCACGTGGGGCTCTGAACTGCACAATGAGGTATGGGTCTTTGACGGCGGTTACTGGGAGAAGAGCGCCGAGCTGTACGACTCTGTGCAGAAAAGCAGTTGGGAAAATGTCATCTTGGACGAGGATATGAAGAAGGCGCTGATCGCCGACGTGGAGAACTTCTTCGATGGTCGCCAAACCTACCAGGACCTCAAGGTACCGTGGAAGCGCGGCGTCATCTACTACGGTCCGCCAGGCAACGGTAAGACTATCAGTATCAAGGCCATGATGCACAGTCTTTATCAACGCGGAAGGAATGGCGACTCTAGGATGGCTGTGCCTACCCTCTATGTCCGCTCGCTGAGCTCTTTTGCTGGCCCCGAATACTCTTTGCAGGCCATCTTTTCCAAAGCCCGCCAGGAAGCCCCCTGCTACCTTGTTTTCGAGGACCTTGACTCGATTGTCAAAGACAGTGTCCGGTCCTACTTCCTCAACGAAGTAGACGGTCTCAAGTCTAATGATGGCATCCTTATGGTTGGCTCTACCAACCACCTCGACAGATTAGACCCAGGCATCTCGAAAAGGCCGAGCCGCTTCGACCGCAAGTACTACTTCTCAAATCCCGACTACGATCAGCGCGTCCAGTATGCCAAGTTCTGGCAAAACAAACTCAAGGATAACAAGAATCTTGAATTCCCTGACGAGCTATGCGACAAGATTGCAGAGATAACACCAAAATTTTCTTTCGCTTACATGCAAGAGGCCTTTGTTGCAGCACTTCTGGCAATCGCCGCTCGTGGAGGTAAGAGTGTTGCGGAAGCAGACCGTGAAGCAGAGAGGTGGTCGGGTCCTCAAGATCCAATGAAACTCGGTGGTGGTACTCTTCACGCCAACTTTGGCCGGAGAGCCCATGTTGGTGACGCAAATGACACGGCATCTGGATCTGACTCACAACTGGATAAGTTGGAGTTGTGGGTTGAGATCAAAAAGCAAGTCAACATTCTCAAGGACGAGATGCAAGAGGACAGAGGTGAGAGCAGCCTGAAATTACCCAGTCGGCCAAGGGATTCGTACCCACAGCCACCGCAGTCGACCAAGTTCAGAGACGAGCTTGACGCTATACTGCATGGCGGGCAAGACAGGCGGCCCCGTCATCCATTGCCCGAGTTCGAGCACTTTTCCAATCACGCACGCTTTGAGTAACGCTTTGATGATTAAAACATATGTGCTTTGTACATTTTGCACCATTCCGAAAGGCGCCATAACGTAGGTATGGGAAAATATGATGATTTGAAACTGGTGCCATCCTCGTGTGTGCAAACCTAGTCGCCGTGCAAAGCCTCCTCTTCCATAGCCAAAACTGCGTGCTCCAACTCCCGAATCCGCTGTCCCACCCTCCTCTTCACCTCATCCGCAACCGCCTGATCCTCACCTTCCAAAACGCCCTTGTAAAACTCCAACAACCGATCCAGCTCTTCCCGTGCCGCAGCCCGATCATCAGGCGCATATGTAGTATTCTTCTCGCTCTCCTCGGACGCAATCTCGAACTCGTCCCTCGCCGTCCCATACAACTCCTGGATCTCCTCGATCGCTGCCTCAACCGCCTGCTGCGACTCTGGCGACAGCGACGACGGAGCTTCCGCCGTCGATGCAGCGAGCTTAGCACGTGCGGTGGATGTGAACGTGCGGACGGAAGAAACCGTATTATACGGCGAGCTGAACCGCGTCCACTGGCCCGGCGCCGCAAGTATCGACGTGTTGCGCGCCTGGTACGGTGGGGGCGGCGACGGCGAGCGCGACCGCTGCTGTGTATACGTCTGCACTGAGAACTGCTGCGACGCAGGGTACGAGGTGCGCTGTGCTGCTATGGCGCTTGCACGCAGCGTCGTCTGACGTAGTAGCGTGCGGATGGGCGCTGCGCCTGATGCCATTTTTGGCGGCGCCTGTCTATGGTAGGAGGCACGAAACTGGGCGGGAATGGAACGCTGCGCTACATTCCGCAGCGCAGGCGTCCGTGAAAAGAGAATCTGCGACATGGCCGGTGGTGTTTGCTATGTGTGGAGTGGGTGAGATTAGGCGTGGTAGGCCTGAGGTTGGTCGGAGTTAACGTCGTCACTCGGCCGTGATCATGATGGGTGATGGCACGCCTTGTTATCTATGAATGCGGCTTTTGATTTTTACGATATATGCTGTATCTTTGCTATACGCTCTTCTTATGTTGTAATACCCTAAGTCGTGCTCTCACCTCAAGTAAACCTAGCACCTTTGTAGCAGTAACCGCCCAAGCTTGTAGAACGCAACAGTCTTGTAAATTCTTGTCGGATGTATGCCCCACCAGAAAGGCCTACTATATCGTTCCTCTACGTCCACTAGTCACGCTCAGGTCGGATCCACATTTTTCCACCTTGTCAAGCTCATCTCATGTAACATAGAATGAATAGATTTGAACAATTTGTCATCAAAGAACATTGGCGAGCGTAGTCTAGTGGTTATGATGTCTGCTTTACATCTTAAAGATATAAAGCGCAGAAGGTCGGGAGTTCGATCCTCCCCGCTCGTACGCATCAAAAAACCTTTCTTTTTGCCTTTTTGATGTTTGGGTTCATTTATCGCGGACCTATTCTTTTCGGGTGTGGGTGGGGAAGCTGAGGTTTGCTGGAGTTGGTAAATTCAACCCCTCCTTTTTTTGCCCTAGAAGAGCTATGCCCCACTACAATGTCCACTTGCAAAAGTCTACACGTCATAGCTTTAACAACACCTCCTCACTGTAGCATATATCGAGGTTTGATGCTGGGTACGTGTGGTCGTGATTAAGTACATTTACGCTACAACAGGAAACACAGACATATTGCACCACTCGAAGCATCTATAGGTTGTGTAGTGTACGTTGATCTACATCCGTTGCGCCATTAAGCATGCACTCATTCGATTCCAGGTAGTGGTTATCACTTCAGATTTTGACTTCTCAACATTCTGATAACCCCGGTTCGGTAAGATACTTCTTCGACTTTGATGTGATTGCAATGTCTAACATTGAGAAGAACCCGGGCACGACCTCAAGACTTCTTTTTTTGTCAACATAGTGCCTGTTTAGTAGAGTACTTAGTAGGATGCAGGAATATGCTATTTTTTCGGGAAGTTAAACTGCAGAAAGACTAGTTAAGTAGCTGACTGCACAGACCTTGGGGTATAAGCCCTGCCTGATACTTGTTGGAGTTGACGAAATCAAGAAAGATTTACGTTCAGCACTCCATATGTCCTCATATCTGTCGAGCAGGCTTTACAGTACCAACGCAGGCCCCGAATCCAACTCCCGCGCTTCCATCCCCAACTACACCAATATACCTTACTTCGTCTCCATCTTCAAGGAAGCGTAGCTCAGTTCCATCGCTCAGCTTACTTGGAGCCTTGCCATTTTTTGTAAGCTCAAGCAAGCATCCATGCTCATGCTTCTTCTCGCCTGATACTGTCCCGCTAGCAACCAAGTCTCCCGACCGAAGTCCACACCCGCCAATAGTATGATGTGCCAGCATGTGCCTGAACGTCCAATACATGGTCTCAAACCCGACTTTGCACGTTGTCGTTTGAACTCCATTGCGTACGATCTGCCCTTCCAGTTGGATGTTATAGTTTGCGCTTTTGGGGTCGTCCATGAAAGGGGCGACGGATTCCATGCGCTCTGGGGCAGGTACTTCGAAAGGCTTCAGGGCTTCTAGCGTTATGATCCAGGGTGTGATGGAAGTCATGAAGTTCTTTCCGTTGAATGGTCCTAACGGGTTCATTTCGAGACCTTGGATATCTCTGGCGCTCCAGTCATTTAGCAAAACAAGTCCAAAGATGTGCTCATCCGCATCTTTTGCGTTGAGAATGCTGCCTGGCGCTACAGGCTTGCCAATCACGGCCGCAACTTCCATTTCGTAATCCAGACTTCGGGATGGACCGAAGATGATTTTCTTTTCGGGGACGGTATAGTCCTCGATGAATTGGCCCAAGGGCCTCGTGACTGGAGCGCCAGAAAGGTTGATAGAGGAACACCGGCCTGCGTAGCCTACGGGATACTTTTTGAAAGCGGGTGGGTATGATCGAACCCCCATTACGGCTTCTCCCGCGTTGAGAACATGAGTTGCAGATGCACTGTAATCTGTAAAGTCGCCGATGTGTACAGGTAGGTGAAGGGTCACATTGTTGATGTGTTCCGAGAAATCTTTATAGATGTTGTTCTTGTAGGCTTCTTGAATCGCGGTTCTGACTTTTGAATGTATGTCTTTGTCTAGGGCGGCAAAGGAGTTTAGGGTGGATTGGCGGAGGATGGAGGATAGTGGTGCTTGAATTGCTTTGAGAGTATCGTGTTCAGCAAGCTCGGCAAGAAAAATGACTTCGTCCCCAATGCGCGTGACGCATTGTGGAGTTGTTCGCTTTGACGAACTTGCAACTCCGTAGGGGATGTTGTTGATGCCAAAATGTGAGGCGTAGCTGTCTGCCATTGTGGTTGTAAAGGTTTAGATATTGAAGCTGGTTTAATTATTATGAGACTCTGAAAAGCATGAAATGTTTGTCGTACAATTAAAGATTAGTAGCTTGCGATTACAAAATCCTACCGAGGTTGGGTATCATGACTGATGTTCATGGATGTGTGGGGTTGTAGCTCGATGTTTCGGATGTCATTCCCCCACATCGGACCTGTCCCGCTACGTACTATAGATTTGTAATCGGAACCCGACAAGACCGGAAGACTGAATTCAGTATTGGTTGCAGATACCAGATACTCACACTGTCTTACTACGACACAGCAACGCTTTGTAGGCTTTTCCAGGAACAGAGCTGTGTATGTGCGATCCACTCAAAGCGGTTGAGGTGCTTCTGTCATGTAATCATCTTTACTTCAATTAGTCCACAATACAAGATGCCTGCATCCCCATCATTTGAAGCTAACAGAACAGGTACAATCGCCATGCTCGATCTTACACAAGGAGTGGCTATCTGGCGTAGAGGTTGCTTCATGCCTCTTATCGATACGTAGTAGCAGAATTGGGCACCCGTCCTCAGTCCCCGAGGTGCACCCGTGAACCCCTCTTACGCATTACCCTAAGAGTCAAAATCGTACCATGCCTGTTCCCTACGCGGCTAATGTGAACCTCCAATTTAAGTAATACCTAGATGCACTAAGTGTGAAGCAAGCCCCACCTAGAATGCGTCTGCCATGTCTCGGTAGATGTAGGTGGCATATTCATTCGTAAATGCGCCCTCCACATCGGAAGGCAGCAGACGAGTCTTTCGATGACACTTTCTCACGTCCTTTTTTTGTTACAGTCTATCAGTACTCAATTTCTCGGGAAATATTTCTTTACCAGCAAAAACTTCTTCACAAAAAATACCTCTTCAGTCTTACATACCATCTTATTGCGTCCTGCCACTTTCTAGAAACATGGCTACTCAAAACGTTACCCCAAACGACCTCCCCAAGATCAATCGCTTCATCACAACCCACGACCCAGCTACAAAGCAAGCAGTCTTCTCTAGTGCCATACCCGATGAGCATAAAGTCGATCCCATCCCAGGAGCAGACTTCCGACTGGGATACGTCACAAAAGGATTTCCTGTCGACCTAAACAACGATGCGGACCTACAAGTCTACAAACCATATCTAGAAAGTTCCCCCGGTCTCGTTGTTTCAGGAGGAACTGTCCTCCGCTTCGTAGATGTAGCGCCAGGCCACCTGTCACCAATGCACCGCACTGTATCGCTAGACTACGGTGTCGTGTTGGAGGGCGAGTTCGAGCTGGTGCTGGATTCTGGAGAGACAAGACACATGAAGAGAGGAGATGTTGCGATCCAGAGAGGCACAATGCATGCGTGGAGGAATCTGAGTTCAACATCTTGGGGACGGATGATGTATGTGCTTCAGGAGTGCAAGCCTGTTGAAGTCAATGGAGAGGTTCTGAAGGAAGATTATGGAACGATGCAGGGTGTGCCGAAGTCGTCATAGTCTACTTGAGGGGAAGTTGCATAATTGGTTTTTGTAAATATCAGTCAAAATATCTTTCTCATCAATAAGACTTGTGGTGAATAGAAAATGATTTCGATATCATCACATCCTAGATAATATCGCGATTGAATCAAGTTTCTGGGCATCCAGTAAATGCGTGTCGAACTTTTGAATACAATCGTGATTTCGTCCCAAAGGGAAACCTGCCACGCTATTTCCCGCATGATCACCGAATACGGATAGAGGCAAGCATCCAGAGACCTACTGCAAGAGTCTACATTTCAATCATCTTGTTTCACCGCGAGGATTGGGGTACGGAAATTGCCCCGGCTACTAGCGGGGCATTCGCGACGCTACGCAAGTACGTAGTAGTACACTCCCCCACATTCCGATACTGCCCCTCTATGCACTGCACTTCGAACAGCGGCACGCTGCCCGCACCGGCATTCGCAACGCGTCACGAGGGGTCCTTAATATACAAAATGTCTGGAACATTGGCGTTCTTCACACTCCATCACCACCTACACAATGTCTGAACAACTGGAAGTCAAGGACGCGCACCGCATCGACGAGTCGTCGTTTCCCTACATTTTTGAAGAGAATGCTGCAGTGCCGCTGAAAACATCCTCCAAGGGCATTATTCGTTGCAATGTTTACCGTCCCAAGTCGACCAAGGAAGGCACCAAGCTTCCTGTGCTGGTGACTTATGGACCATACGGAAAAGATATTCCCTACAAAGAGTACGTAGGGTGAAGCCTGATTCTTGTTCGCAGCGACTGACGCCACGTAGCTTCCACGGAAAATCATTCTCGGAAGTCAATCCTGAGCACCATTCTGATCATTCAGCATGGGAAACACCAGATCCTGGTTTCTGGACCAAGCATGACTACATCGTTGTGCGCGCCGATGAGCGTGGCCTTGGTCAGTCGCCAGGCTTCCTAGACACAATGTCGAGAGGAACTAGCGAGGCTTTCTATGATGTCGTCGAATGGGCAGCTGAACAGCCTTGGTCGTCTGGAAAAGTTGGTTTACTGGGTATAAGCTACTATGCTGGATCGCAATGGCGTGTAGCAGCACGCAGGCCCAAAGGCTTGGCTGCGATAATACCGTGGGAAGGTATGAGTGATTATTACCGAGACAGATGCCGCCATGGAGGCATCTTGAGTAACAAGTTCATCGAATTTTGGTGGTAAGTCTAACACGGCCTCTCTACAAGAAAAAAAAATAGTTGATGCTAATTCAATTTTTTCAGGAACCGTCAAGTCATCACGAATCAATATGGTCGCCCAGGTCGCGCAGAACGAAACTGGGGACCGGACACAGTCGACGGAAACTTATCTGATGAAGTGCGCGCAAAGAATCGACAAGATCAGACTATTGATACTGCCAAGTACAAGTTTCGCGACGAGCTATACTACGCAAGCAAAGAGTACGATATGAGCGACATTGAAGTCCCACTTCTATCGGTTGGCAATTGGGGAGGCATTCTGCTTCATCTCCGCGGTAATGTCGAAGGTTATGTTCACGCCGGGTCTGAGTTCAAATACCTACGAATGATCACTGGAAGACATGAC